CCTAATTAATTAAAGGAGACGTAGTAAGAAATCTAACTGAACGATATACTTACAAAATCCAGCAACTCATAATAGAGACGTCGAGGGCGTCCAGCTGGTATAGTTCGTAGATTCCCTTGAAATTGATCCAGAGAATGTCATCTCCTTGCAAGAAGTCCGTGTCCCTGATCCTCGCTCCGATCATCTCTCTACCGGTGGCGCTCATCTCCATGTACAGCTGATGGAACTTGTACATTTGTGTGGGTAGAGACTGCAGCAGCTCAGGCTTGACAAGCGGTTTACCGAGTTTGTACATGTATTTCACTTCCGCCTTTTCGACTGGTGCGTCTCCTAGCAATTGATCCGTAGTTAGCCCGGTGTCATTAATAAATTCTTGTATTCCAAAATCTTCACCGGTCACCAACAGCTTGATCTCCTGGTTTGGTTGCTCTCCAAGCTGAGGGACTGGTTTGGACTTTCCAGAAGATGCTTTCTTGAGCGTTCGCTCATAGTCCGATAGCTTTATGGCCTCCTTGGCAGGTGCAGACATACCCCTGAAGAAGTTCCTGACACTCGGGTCTATAGGAATCTTCTTTTCTGGACTTCGAGGCTTGAATTATCTCTTGACTTCTGATGCCACGTAAGCTTCAACCTCCTCTTGCGTGCAATCGTACCCTGGGTCCTTGTTCTTGGCGGCGTCAACTTTCGCCTTCTTCATTGCCCTTGTGGGGGCAGGCGGTAGAGCTTGGGGGCCCTTGACTTGGAAGGTGCTGGAAGAGGAGCTTGCGGAGGAGTCGGTGTAGGAGCCTGAGGAGGAATCGGTGCAGGAGCCTGAGGAGGAATCGGTGCAGGAGCCTAAGGAGGAGTCGGTGCTAGAGCTTGAGGTGGAGACGGTGCTGGAGCATGAGGAGGAGACGGTGCTGGAGCCTGAGGAGGAGACGGTGGAGGAGCCTGAGGAGGAGATGGCGGAGCCGGAGGAGATGGTGCACGAGACGACGCTTGTCGCCCAGGGAGGATGATGTACCGCTTGCGCCATAGAATAATGGCATGGCTTGTGTCTCGTAGATGCGTCTCACCATCTCCTCCAGGGTAATCCAGCTCAAGGTCCTCGTATGCGCCTTCGACCAACTCAACATCGACCTTGGAGTATCCTACTGGAATCGGCCTGCAGTGGTAAGTACCTGAAGGGTCCGCTGGGATGGCCATGCCCGACGCCACCTTCATGTGGTGAGAGGTTATTTATTAGTAATCAACATATATAAACAGCAACTAGCGGAATGGCCAAATCTAAAATCTATAAACTACGAGCTTACCTTTATTGATAAGTTCTTGAAAGGAATATGCACCTCACATGGTGTCCACTAAGCGATGTCATCAACGGGGCAGGTGGATTCGTCCTGGGTTTGCATGGCGTCCATGCTCTGTGATCCTACTGCCCCATTGAGGCGCAGCTGCTACGGTTTCCTTACGGGCTCACCATTGCAGGAGGAATGGTCGGCTGGGGATCATGGGACCGATGTGCGGCCATGCGTTCATCAACCTTTCTTGCCACCTCCTCTTGCATGCTGAGCTCGTAGCTCGATACCCTGAACTCTAGATCTGCAATCTTCGCCTCGGTATCTCTCTTGCTCCTCATCCGACTCCTGTACGTGTGGATGTCCTCCTTGAACCCAATCTTCCAAGGAATCACCCCTTTCCCTCGTGTTCGTCCTGGATGCTCTAGAGTCTGCAGGGCGAGTGACAGCTCGTCCTTCTCTTTGTCCGGTCGGAACGTGCCCTGAGAAGAGGCTTCCACTGCGTCTGTTAGTCGACGCGCAGCCTCGCGTATCTGATCGCCGAAGACCAGGGAGCCATCAGCTGGGTTGAGCGTTCTACCGTGAGCATAGTACCAGAACTTCGATCGTTCCGGCCAATTAGCGGTGGCCGGTTCGATACCCCTATCAAGTAAGCTAGCCTCCATCTCCTCCCACTTCGGCATCGCGACGCTATAGCCACCTGACCCCAAGTGGTGATGGTACTTCTTCTTGGTGGTATTTTCTTTGTTTCTTTCCATCATCGCCTGCCCTTGTTCACCTGTCTTATATGTAACGAACTCGTCCCAGTGATCCCTTAGCTTTGGGAATGTGTCAAAGTTCGGTGTCTGCCCCTTCAGGATATATTTCTGGTACAGATCTCCCTTGAAGCTCTGAAACTGTTCTGCCATTTTCTTCAGAGTCCACCTTTTCACTTTGTCCTCTGTACCCGCAGGAAGGGTGAATGTCTCGAGCATTGTGGTCCATAGCATCTCTTTCTCCGAATATGGGACAAAGCTCTCATGATCTCCGCGTGCCCTTGTTCTGCGCCAGTACACCGTACTGATAGGCACGTTATCCCGCACAACCCAACCGCTGTGACGCACATAGTTCTTGGCGTCTTCTGCCGGGGCACTAGGTCGGCTGTCTTCGTCCACTTCCGTTATGATGTGCTGACCCTCAAGCTTCTTCGCGACACCTCGTTGCCCGCGTGCCCTCTTCTGTCCAACGGAGGGTTGACTTCCACTAGCCTCCTCCTCCTGGTTCCCCTCCACATCCCTTTCCACGTGCCCCTCCTGGTTCCCCTCCGTATCTCTCTCCACGTTCCCTTCCTCGTTCAAATACTGGTTTGGATCCTCGTTCCCCTCTTCTTCGTTCCAGTACTGGCTGCTTCCCTCCGCGATTGTATCGTACAATATCTGTTCCTCATCGCGATCAGCCATCTGTTCATACAGGAAACATCTGGTAAGTCATGAGACATTTATGTTTTAACAATCTTATATGCTAACAATCATATGCTAAGTCTAGGTGACGTATATTATAGGACCCTAGCTAGTCAATAAATTATATAGTAAGTCTAATTACAAATCTAATAATCTTATATTAAAACTCAAATAATCTTATACTAAAACTCAAATAGTGATAAATGCTATGTCTAGGTGACGTATATTATAGGACCCTAGCTAGTCAATAAATTATATAGTAAGTCTAATTACAAATCTAATAATCTTATATTAAAACTCAAATAATCTTATACTAAAACTCAGATAGTGATAAATGCTATGTCTAGGTGACGTATATTATAGGACCCTAGCTAGTCAATAATTATATACTAAGTCTAATTACAAATATAATAATCTTATATTAAAACTCAAATAATCTTATACTAAAACTCAAATAGTCATGTATGCTAAATGTAACTGTCGTATATTAGAACCCTACACTAAAGAAAAGATCTTTAGTCCCGGTTGTTCTCAACAACCGGGAGTAAAGATATCTTTACTCCTGGTTATTCTCATCAACCGGGAGTAAAGATATTTTCCCGCTATTTCCAAATTCTTTTTAAACCCGGTTAGGGTTAAGAACCGGGACTACTGATAAGCGCACTGAATATTATTTTCCATTACATATGTACTTCTAAAATAGAAAATAATGCATTAAAATTATTTAAAGTACAAATATTAATGACAATTACTTCGAAAAATTATTGTTGTCTGTAATAAATTAAGTGGATAAAACGTAATAAGCAAACATATGATTTAAAATTAATAAAAATTCTAATAATCATGTATACTTAGCATATGAATGATATTAAATTGTTAAAAACTCTAATTAACATATGTATATACATACGGCATGATGTAAAATTAATAAAAATTGTAATAATCATATATAATTAGCATATGAATGATAGTAAATTAATTGTTAAAAACTCTAATTAACATATGTAAATGCCACATGCATGATTTAAAACTTTTAAAAATTCGAATAGTCATATATAATTAGCATATGAATGATAGTAAATTAATTGTTAAAAACTCTAATTAACATTTGTAAATGCCACATGCATGATTTAAAACTTTTAAAAATTCGAATAGTCATATATAATTAGCATATGAATGATAGTAAATTAATTGTTAAAAACTCTAATGAACATATGAAAATGCCACCTGCGTGATTTAAAACTTTTAAAAATTGTAATTATCGCATATAACTAGCATATACATGATTTAAAATTGTTAAAACCTCTAATAATCTTGCGTAATTAACATATGCCATACAACAATTGATTTATATGGATAATCAATACATCCAAAATAGTTTACATCGTGTACACAATAATTACGGCAATACATCGGCGGTGACGGTTGACCGCACGTACTTTCTCCTCACTATTGTTCCCTCCTTGTGATCGCTACGTGAGTAAGGGGTGTCTTCATTTGATAGGAGGATGCTAGGGTCAATCATCACCGTGAAAGGGGGTTGCCCATCCAACTGATCGTAATCCTCAACTCCGATGATTTTCTTTTGCCTGGGAGAACCACGTGACGCTTAGGCTCGTCAGGCCCTCTGCCCTTCTTTCCTTTGCTAGACATGTCCTTCACATAAAAGACTTGCGTTACATCATTGGCAAGGACAAAAGGTTCGTCCGAGTATCCAACCTTGTTAAGGTCAACCGTTGTCATTCCACTATCATCAATCATTACGCCTCCACCAGTCAACCTAACCCATTGGCACCGGAACAGAGGGACCTTGAGAGGACCATAGTCAAGTTCCCATATGTTCTCGATGGCACCGTAATACGTGCCAGTTCTTCCATCGTGTCCCATGGTATCGACACGAACAACGCTGTTTTGGTTCGTGCTATTCATGTCTTGGGCTCTCGTGTAGAATGTGTACCCATTGATCTCATATCCCTAGAATGTCGCGATCGACCCAGACGGTCCCCTCGCCAGGAAGGCAAGTTGTTGGTTGATCGACTCGTTACCCATGAGATGTTGTCGTAGCCACGCGGGGAAAGTATCAATGTGATGCCGTGTAATCCATGCATCGGACTTACCGATGTTCCTGGCGTGAATTAAAGCCAAGTGCTCCTCGATGTAAGGAGCTACCAATGAAGATTATTGCAGAACAGTGAAATGGGCTTTACGGAATAAATTGTTGTCTACCGTCATTATTGCTTTCCTTCTGAGAGTTCCCTTTCCCCGTAGTCTCCCTTCATGGCATGATTCAGGTACCCTGATTGGGCAAAGGTCTTCGATAAATTCTACGCAAAATTCGATGACCTCTCTTTTCCATAACCCTTGGCGATGCTTGCCTCTGGACGAGCACGGTTACGAACATACTTTTTCAGAACGCCCATGTACCTCTCGAAAGGAAACATGTTGTGTAGGTACACAGGCCCGAGAATACTGATCTCTTTGACAAGATGACAAAGCAGATGCGTCATTATATTGAAAAATGAAGGTGGAAATATCAACTCAAAACTGACGAGACATTGCACCACATCATTCTGAAGGGCTTCTAATCTATCCAGATCGATGACCTTGTGCGAAATTGCGTTCCTGAATGCACATAGCTTTGTTATTGTTGCCCGGACATTGTCTGGAAGGATACCCCTTATTACAACTGGTAGCAGTTGTGTCATCAACACGTGACAGTCATGAGACTTTAGGTTTGTGAACTTCTTCTCCTTCATGCTTATTATTCGCTTGATATTCGTGGAGTATCCAGACGGTACCTGTATGCTCTCCAAGCATTCAAACATACTTTCCTTCTCTGCCTTGCTAAGAGTGCTGGCTGGACTCAAGTATTGGCTTCCTTTCTCCTTTGGTTCCAGGTAAAGGTCGCCGCGTTGTTCCATATGCTTCAGATCATTACGTGCTTCCAGTGTATCTTTTGACTTTCCGTATACACCTAGGAAGCCAAGAAGGTTTACACAAAGGTTCTTAGTGAGGTGCATCACGTCGATTGCGTGGCGGACGTCCAAGAATTCCCAATAGGGTAACTCCCAAAATATAGAGTTCTTTTTCCACATCGCCGCGTGACCATCTTCGCTCTCTATAGGCTGGCTTTCAGGCCCCTTTCCGAACACTACTTTAAGATCTTTAACCATAGCAAACACTGTTTTCCCGATGTGATGTTTAGGCTTCGTACAGTGGTCAGCCTTATGTTCGAAGTGCTTGCCTTTCTTCCGTACCGGGTGGTTTGCTGTAAGGAATCGACTATGACCCATGTATACAACCTGCCTACAGTGCTTAAGATACATACTTTCTGTTTCATCCATACAGTGAGTGCAAGCCTTGTACCCCTTGTTGGACTGTCCGGATAGGTTGCTAAGTGCAGGCCAATCGTTGATGGTTACGAACAGCAGCGCTCGTAGGTTAAACTCCTCCTGTTTGTCCTCGTCCCACACGGGGACACCTTCCTTCTTCCACAACAGTTTAAGATCTTCGACCAGTGGTCTTAGGTACACATCGATGTCGTTACCGGGTTGCTTGGGGCCTTGAATAATAATCGGCATCATTATGTACTTACTCTTCATGCATAGCCAGGGGGGAGGTTGTAGATATACATCGTAACGGGCCAAGTGCTATGGCCGTTGCTCATCTCTCCAAAAGGATTCATGCCATCCGTACTCAAACCAAACCGTATGTTTCGTGCGTCCTTTTCAAATTCTTTAAATTTTCTGTCGATGTTTCGCCACTGCGAACCATCGGCGGGGTGTCTCAGCATCCCGTCCTGTTGATGCTCTTCAGCGTGCCATCGCATCATTCTAGCATTCCCCTTGTTCCTGAACAAACGCCTTAGCCGTGGTATTATAGGGAAATACCACATCACCTTAGTAGGAATTCTCTTCTTTGTTAGCTGCCCGTCAACTTCTCCTAGATCGTCTCGTCTAATCTTGTATCGTAGTGCTTTGCAAACAGGGCATGCTTCTAGGTTCTCGTACTCCTCACCGCGATATAGGATACAATCATTCGGACATGTGTGAATCTTCTGAACTTCCAGTCCTAGCGGGCAGACTATCTTCTTAGTCTCATACGTTGTCTCGGGCAATTTGTTTTCCTCCGGAAGAATGTTCTTGACGAGTTTCAATAAATCGCCAAATGCCTTGTCACTAACCCCATTTTTTACCTTCCATTGCAAGAACTCTAGAGTGGTATCCAACTTTTTGTGCCCCTGCTCGCAACCCGGGTACAACGACATTCTGTGGTCCTCTAACATCTTGTCCAATTTATGGGCCCCCTTTTCACTTTCGCAGTCCTCCTTGGCGTCCTGCAACATCTGACCAAGATCATCCGCAACGTCGTTACCATCAGCATCCCTTTCCTCCTCGCCCGTTTGATTTCCTTCAAATCCAATGTACTGAGCAAAATCCAGAATATTGTCGTCTTCCACTTCATCTTCTTTCATTTCAATACCTTGCTCTCCGTGGGATGTCCAACAATTATAGCTTGGCATGAACCCCGACTCAAACAAGTGGAAATGAATAGTCCTGGATGCAGAATACTCCTTCTGATTTTTACACTTATTGCATGGACAACAAATAAAACCCCTTTGCCTGTTAGCTTCGGCCACTCTCAAAAAATAGTGCACGCCGTCAATAAACTATTTGGACCGCCGGTCAGCGTACATCCATTGCCGATTCATCTACATGAGTCGAAAAAAAATCGTACACAAATAATTATTCTTGCAATAATGACAGTCATACAATAATTATAAGATAATTACAAACTCTTTCAACAGTCATACAATAATGACATATCTTTATTCATACAAAAATTATAAAATATTACACCAAATAATTCTTATTTACTATTTCTAAGTTTTAAACTAATTTTAATGTGTTTTACTTCTTTTAATTTTCATTTTAGTTTGTTTTCTATTATTTAAGATTAATTTTCTGTAGTAGTAGCTCCTTCTAGATCAGCCAGATATAATCTCAGTTGGCCACTGGCAGTAGATGGTTGTTGACACTTAACAGGAACCAAACGACGTCTCATCAATATGCGGAAAAATCCATACATACGTGCATCCATGCAGGTGACCAATACTATAGCAGGGACATGGCCGGATTAGAGCAGAATCACCCGCAAGACGGGCGACGGTGTGCAAGCGATCGTGTGGGAAGGAGCACGCGTCGTGGAAACATCCCCTCGCGCCAAAGAAAAATGGATAGGGGCTGAGGATAGAGCCCCCAGGCCTAGGGGCTGTGGGAGGGAATTTGGTAGCCTACCTATTTTGGGGTCTTAAGTAAGGGCTCTGTTGGACTTTATTTTTTAGTCTCAACCTCTCAAAGTTGTTTAAGGTCTGTGTTTAGGGGCTTTACTGGAGATGCTCTTAATTGTTACAAGATGACAATATAATAGCTGAGTTTATAAATTAAAATCGATCTCTCGTCAACAAGAGGTTGGTTCACTGCACAGATATTTTGTTCAAGAATTCATCACCAAATAGATATATCATATATGGTATGAATTTTATACGTAGCAGCAAAGTATGACCGAACTTTGAACACGGCTGGGAAAGCACTTTCTGTATAGCGGTTAAATGACTGCACCCACTAGAATCACATTCTTTTGATACTCACAATTGGCACATATGTAGATACCCAAAATTGGCACATATGTAGGTGCGGTTAAAAGAGGTTTATGTATCTATTATCAGTGTCAATCTCTTGACCGTGTGTTAAAAGAGGTTTTTTTAGGGTGAATAGCTAATATGGTCACTGAAGTTTCGCTTCGGGCTCAATTTAGTCCTTAAGGTTTCAAATCATCCAAACAAGTCCTCTAAATTAATTATTTGGATTAATGTAGTCCTTGGACCCACACAAAGTACCATGTGAGCATGCCAAGTCATCCTCGCATGCAGCGGTATGAATGAAATGACCATTGTACCCTTATATACCATATAGAAAAGTAAGAAAACAAGAAGATAATGGTTTCACACATGCATGATCATTTTAGAATTGTCAGTTACGATTGCTGCAATAAGCACTGAACGTATAAATTCCTTTGTCGGCCACTCTCCGCAACAATGTTGGGCCTGAGCTGGCCTGCTATTTTTTCTGTTTGTGTCTTTTGTTTCTTTTCTATATGGTATATAAGGGTAGAATGGTCATTTCATTCATACTGCTGCATGCGATGATAACTTGGCATTCTCACGTGGCATTTTTTGTGAGTCCAAGGACTATATTAACCCAATTAATTAATTTGGAGGACTTATTTGGATGATTTGAAACATCGAAGACTAAATTGAGCCCGAAGCGAAACTTCAGGGATCGTATTGGGTCATAAGTGTCATTTATCAAAAGAGTTGTTGGTTATGTGGGTTCAAGGATAAGTTTGAATTAAAATAAAAACTTGAAGGACTAATATAGACACATTGAAATATTAAGGACTAAACTGATCCTTGCATGAAACTTGGAGGACAACTTTAGCTATTCACCTTTTTTTTTAATTTAAACTACTACCAGACCTAGTAGTAATATATTAAAAGAATAAAAAGTATTAATTACAATAAAACCATAAATTATAAAAGTTGTAACTAACTAGGCATAGAAGAGCGGAAAGCCTCATTCATCCTACAAACATGCAGCAGATCCTCATTCCTTCTACAAACATGCATGAGAGTATCATTCCTAAATGCAGCAAACCAACGATCTTCATCTGGCAAAAAAATTATCAAAAACTTCTCCATTTCGCTGTTTTCAGATATGCCAACACGAGAAAAGCATAATATCTAGGAAGCCTTTTCCTCTGAATTGAAGTCTTGCCAGCACCATCATCTGACAAATTTTCAAATTAGTATTCCAGCTCTTACTGAAAGGACATATGAAGAACAAATGCATCAACGTTTCTCTCGGGTCTTCACACAAATCACAAATAGATCAGCATCCTCAGGAGCACAATGCTTGTATTCAACATATCTCTGGCATTCAACATGTCACAAAGAAGTAACCATATAAACACTTCGATGTTTTTGACACACTTGGTCTTCCAGATCCATATGAAGGGCCTTGGGACCAAAATCCCCATAAACATTGACCTGTAAAATTTCTGAGAGGAGTAAGTCTCAGTATTCCATATAAATGTCCATATACCACCCCTTTGTGAGGTGAATTCCAAATCATCCAATTCTTGTTGCAGCTGTTGAAATTGTACATATGACTAAGTCTCAAAGGGGAAGATTAAAACAATCCTCAAGGTATCTGCTGCAGAAAGTTCAGACTGTAGAGGGCACACTCTTACGAGCATGTGTGGTGTGCGCCCATTTACATCTTCCGTACAGCTAAATAAACACCTCCTCATCAATGTGCTTATGATGTCAATTTGTACTTGTATATAGATAACTAGTACAACCAAAATGAATAAAAATATAACATCATTTGTGGAACTAAATTATGGAGTATGTATTGTAGGAGACTTTGGCTTAATTATTCAATTGTCGCTAAATTACACAAGTGGCATAACCACAATAAATAGTTGACCCGGCATTTTTTATGAAACTACCCAATTTTCTTCTTTTCATATATGTTTTCTTAGAACTGTACAAAGTTTTAAAGTTTTGTATAACCCTAGTTCTCACACATGTTCAGTTCTATATTTCCAGTGCCCAACATGTATTTTTTTTTGTTGTAACATTAATGTCCTAGTGAACAGAAAATCTAGTGATAGATTGCAGCTGATCTGCACGTGGAGAAGAAGTTTATCTACCGCG